GCATATACAGCAACAAATGTTAACATATGTGCATATTTCAAATGACTTCAGTGCTAAGGGCATGTACATGAACGAGGATTGTTAGAAAAGTTTGCGGACACATTGATTTAAGGAAAATTTACTGTGCACTTTGAAAAAATGACCTGTCTGAAGAAATAATTTTTTAATAGCTCGGTGCTCTCCAAGACTTTCAATGACATTGCAATTCTCAACTTTGTGTTTTCGCATTTATCATCTATAATTAGCGATGAAACAGTCATAACCCCTCTAATTTAATTCAAAATTTTGCAACACACCCTCTTTGAATATTGTAGCGACATGTAAAATATCATTAATTTTTTTGCACTACAACAGTGCAATTTTTTATTTCAAGAAATTGGTCTGATTTCAATATAGCTTTGATTACAAATAGACAACTCTAAGATACATAATTCTTTTTATCTTTTTAGCTCTTGTGAGCCAAAGGCTCAAAGAGCTAATGCTATGGCCATTTGTGCGGTGTACGTAAACTTTTTAGCTCACCTGAGCTGAAAGCTTAAGTGAGCTTTTCTGATCACCAGTTGTCCGTCGTCTGTCCGTCTGTAAACTTTTCATATTTTTGTCTTCTTCTCAAGAACCACTGAGCCAAATTTAACCAAAGTTGGTACACAGCATCCTTGGGTGAAGGGGAGTTTGTTAAAATGAAGGACCAACCCCCTTTACAAGGGGAGATAATCAAGAGAAGAAAAAAATAGGGTGGGGTCATTAAAAAATCTTCTCAAGAACCACAGGGCCAGAAAAGCTGAAAGTTATGTGGAAGCATCCTGGGGTAGTGTAGATTCTAAATTCTTCAAATCATGGCCCCCAGGGGTAGGGCGGGGCCACAATAGGGAATCAAAGTTTTACATTGAAATATATAGGCAAAATCTTTAAAAATCTTCTTCTCAAGAACCACTGGGCCAGAAAAACTGAAACATATGTGGAATCATCCTGGGGTAGTGTGGATTCTAATTTTTCAAATCGTGGCCCCCAGGGGTAGGGTGGGGCCGCAATAAGTATTACAAGGGAGGGAGGGTCTGGTGAAGAACAGCAGGGCCAAAGTAACTCAGGTGAGCGTTGTGGCCCATGGGCCTCTTGTTAGAATATGGGCCATAACTCAAGAACCCCTTGGCCAATTATTGTCAAATTTGTCACAGTGTATCCATGGCCCAAGGGCTCCCGTTTATAGTAAACTTAGGGTTGTGACCCTTAAACAAGGGGAGATAATTAGGTAAATAAAACCAAAAGTACTGGTTGCTAAAAAATCATCTTCTCGAGAACCACTGGGCAGATTATCACCAAACTTTCACAAAAGGATGAGGATATATTGTAGATTGAAATTTGCACAGGGAATCGCTCTGGGACAAAGGGCTTGGTCTCAAAGTCACTTCAAATTTGACCAAAAATTACATTTATTAAAATGTTGATATTTTGCTTACTATAAGGACTAGGATCATCAAATCTTGTCAGTTGATGCATCTAAGGACCTCGTATCATGTTGACTCAAAAGTAGTTCATGGTTACCTACTTTTTAAATTTTGCAGCTATTCTTTTTCAAAATGATTCAGAAGCATATTTTGAACAGTTTCAGGCCTATTATCATCAAACTTTTTCAGTTGACAAATGACAGAATGAGACCACTATTCTTTAAATTTGCTTGTTGTGTCTTAGGCTCATAATTCACATTATATCTACTGCAATCAACTTCAATGGATTCAAATATTTTTAATGAATTCTTATTAAAAAAATTACTTGAATATATGTGTAATATACATGTACATGTAAAAGATTATTTTAACATGTTCAAAAATTTAAATATATGTGTCTTTTTCCCCCCTTGTAAAACATTTGAATAAATGAACCCAAGAAGTACAGTAAAACCATTTTTTCTCAATTTCAACTGGACCAAGATTAAACATCAAGATATCCAATGACTCCAGATAACCATGCAGGGTAAAAAACTTAAAGAATAAGGGGTTGGGAGTACCAACTCACTTCACCATATAAATGGTACATGTATTTAGATATCGGTTTTTGAGATAATGAAGTTTAACTTTTAAGTTAAAGGCTAAAAAAGATGTTATGTTAAAATTTTCCACAAGTGACACCGTGTCTTACTGAAATCATCCCTGTGCATTTCTTGTAAGAGTATTTTTCTACTTACTGATTGTCAAAGAATGGATATCCTCAATCAGTAACACATTTGGATTACTTACTATGTAGTTATGCTGTGTAAATGTTTTGTCAAGCAATTATTATGACAGTGATGTAGCAAAACACTGATGATTCTGTAGTATGACACGTGTTACTAACATGATTGCATCAAAGATGTTAGGTGAATAGAAAAGTCTAGAAATTAAAAATCAAAAGTCAAAGTTCAAGAAATGAGGGTCTGGGAGTATTAGTGTTTTGGATACAATTTCAGGAGTACTGTTGGAGAGAGTACACTCCAGATTCAGAGTTCCGGAGATGAGGTCTCTTGATATTTGGGTCAAAGAAGAAAGAGAATGTTAGCAAAGTTGACAATCTAAACAGAAACATGTAACCTTTAGGTGGAAATTAAACAAATATTTATCCTTTTATTACGACGTCAACTTACAAGCTAAGAAGGAAGACCCACTCGTTGCTTTGCAACGAGCTTTGCTCTAGTTATTATTATTTTTCTTCCTGGGTACTTTTTTGTCCGTGAGTGATATCCGAAACTACACATCCGATTGAGGTGAAACCTTTTTAGGGTTACTAGGCATGTTATGTAGATTTGCGGAACGAAGGTCATTTTGCGCGCACGCACATGCACGTGCGTGCGCGTGCAATGCGTAAAATGACCAATATACTTGATATAGCTGTAACTTTTATATTTTTTGATAAAATGCTTTGATGCTCAGAATATAAGGATATATTAAAAGTGTGAACAAGATGACATGGTCAACATGCACATGCATGCACGTGCGCGCACGCGCAAAGCGTAAAATGACCAATTTACTTGATATAGTCGTAACTTTGAAACTTTTTGATGAAATCCTTTGATACTCAAAATATTTATATGTATTTAAAGTGTAGACAAGACGACATGATCATCATGCACATGCATGCATATGCATGCACGTGCGCGCGCGTGCAATGTGTTAAATGACCAATTCACTTAATATAGCCGTAATTTTTATATTTTTTGATGAAAAGCTTTGATATTAAGAATATACAGATATATTAAAAGTGTAGACAAGATGATATGGCCATCATGCACATGCGCGCGCGTGCAATGCGTTTAATGACCAATATACTTAATATAGCCGTAACTTTTATATTTTTGATGAAAAGCTTTGATACTAAGAATAAACAGACATATTATAAGTGTAGACAAAATGGCATGGTCATTATGAACATGCATACAGGTGCGCGTGCGCGCAATGCTAAGATGACCAATATACTTGATATAGCCGGAACTTATATATTTTTTATGAAATGTTTTGATACTGAGAATATAAAGATGCATTTATAGTATAGATGGGATGATATGGTCATACTGCACATGCATACACGTGCGCGCGCGTGAAATGACCAATATACTTCATTGCCTTATTTAATGAAGCTTACAGGAAATAAGACACCAAAAGGGAATTGGGGAGCGTTTGGGGAACATCTGTAACGGTCCCCGTTACAATTAATACTAGTTCCATGTGTTTTACACAAACTGATTTCGTCCATTTCAAATACTGCTAACTGCAGTAAAATGATTCTCCTTAAATAGTTTTATATAATTTTAAATTAACTCATTATGAAGGTAATGTTCTTTGAATTTTAAGAAAGAGGGTATTAATTTAATGCCAAACTCCAAACCTCTTTAGAAATGGACAGACTGTGTTTTTATTTTATTTTTTTTTTTTACTTGCAAGGAAAATTGGAACATATCGTCATGAAAAATCGACAAACCTGACAGGTTTGGGGTACATAAAGTCGGGGTTGTACATGTATTTATCATTTACACATGTTTCTGCTGAAGTAGCGTAGTACATGGGTGGAAAAAGGTTACTGAACGCACAAAGGTGAGTTTTAGCAGTAAGTAAAAAAATGTTTACAGACAACATAGTGAATGCATGTTTTTTCACTGCAATCAAGAAAATGTATGGTCAGAAGAAGAAACTAGATGATGAATGGAAGGTATATACCTGTAACTATTAAAACATTAAATAAAATTTTGGAAAAAATCATACCTAATCCTTTGAAAGATATCGTATTGGTAGAGGTTCTTGGCAAACTAATGGATCTTTCATGGAAAGTCAAAGAGGGTGAAAAATAAGAATCCATATTTCAGGGCATTTTATTTAAATGATACGATGTCTGAATGCTAGTCGTGGAAATGTTATCACCCAGAAGTCCTTCTTTTCATCATTTTTCATAAACCGCTTCGATGCCGATTAAAAAAGCGAAAATCAACAATCCGCGATTACAACTAGCCTGGAGTCGATATATCAAACAGCGAATGTCCGGCAATATTTATGACGGTTCAAACAATCCTTTCACCAGACCTTGTTTTTGCACTCTTCTGTTCGTCATTAATAGCGTTCTCCTAACTATATCCGTTTTACATAACACTCCGAATGAACAGACAACAGGGCCTTGGCGACAGATGACAGAGATGGATAGTGACAATGAAGATTAGGCGCAAGTAATCTTGGCCGGGTCCATCAATTGCTTCAACCCTTAATCCTACTTATTGGACAAGGAGGTCTAAACACGTGTTTTCATGAAATTACGGTTGCGGTTTACGTGGGATTGTGACGATTTTTCTATGATTGCAAAATAAAAGTCTGTGTTCTTGTGAATTAAAAAAATATCGATATGGTAAACAATAATCAACGATCCGGAAAATGATTGCATCTATACTTTACATTTAAAATTATAACTTCATACATGCCAAATATGCCAGAATTTTAAAATACTTTTATATGAATATAAATTAATCATGCTTATTATTTTCTAGAAAAGCTGTTTGTCAAACAACAAAATCGTAACCAGGACAGAATGACGATAGTGTAGAACCTCTCCTGAACCACGTGATTTAGTCCTGGGGTATTCCGACTTATTTGTTTAAGTTTGTAATTGCTCTTTATAAATTTTAGCACTAAAACCAATTTCTCTTCACTGAAAAAAGTTAATTCTCTTTAATTAAGAATATCCAATTAAAATAGAGTCCAGAAAGACAATTTTAGTATAGAATAAACTGTTCGTCATATTCTAGTATATAGTCATGCTTTTACCTTATGCGCAGTAGAAGCGTTCGATCTTCTCTTTTAAGTATTTATCATAAGGCTTTTCTATACTTATTTTTTTTATATTTGAAGCATCCATTGGTGAGAGTTTTACCTTCCTGTGCGTCTGACAGACTTATTAAACCGTCAACGATTAGAGGCCACACCACTTCAGTAGAGAACTGCCAACGAGAGGCTTCAGTTCCAATACCGAGATATTGACTATCGAGTAATAACTTTTAAAAAAAGCAAAATTTTAAACCGATAAGAATTAACAATTTCCATTTTGGAAGCGGAATATCAGGGAACTTTTCTACATTTTCGGAAATCAACATGGGATAGGAAACACATTGTGCAAACTATGTATGGCATTACATGTATCTGTGAATTTTCTCAGTTTAATCAGGTAAGGGAAATTTATGCATTACTTCCGACATTTGTTAATTCTATTACGCCAAGTAGGATAATATTTGTTACTTTACATGAATAAATGATCCTTCAACATACGGTGAAGATCTTAAGTTATGTCTACTTCATAGACTTTGATAACTCTCCTTCGGAAGGGAAATTCTGAAATCAATAGGAATCAATAGCCGGGTAATTGCAAAAAGATGACTATCAATTATGTCTCATCATAAAATACCATCCACAGAAAAAGTGTTCACTCACTCGGAAGTCATTTGATCGGTACCACAGGATAAAGCAAAACATGTACGTCATTAGAAGTCCAACCACGTGACAGATTCATTCTCAATAGAACATCTTCATCAAACTGCTGCAGCGAGAAAAATCCAATTACGGAGTTGATGGGAAACATTTAAGATGGCCCTATTAATTTACTTGACATGTGCATCACTTTTTCTTGATGGAAAATCCAAATGGACTTTATTCTTATTTCTTTACAGAGCAATAATACCCTCTGATGATATCTGAATTCGTCGAGACCTATTCATAAACAGAGCGGTAATGGAGAACTACACATTAGGAAGAGCGGCTCTGAATTTATCTTTAAATGTGACACGAAATTTTGCCAGCCCTCGTGTCCCTCCCGCTGGGGTACCCTTTACCTGGAAATTAATATCCTCTATAATTTTGGTCACTGGCTGTATAGGTAATATACTTACAATTTTCTCTATATTTAGGGACAAAAATTTGAAAACACCTACTTATATTTTAATCGCCTGTATGGCAGTATCTGATCTCAGCGCCATCATTGTACGCTTCATCATTTTGACTTGGAACGTTTTCTTACCGGATGTGCTGCCGAATCCGGTCGAGTTTTCGTTGATTTCCGCTGCAGTTGGTATGGTGGTGGTCCAAAGTTCATGTTTACACGTAGTATTATTCGCGTATGTGCGGTATGCTCTTTTGGTACATCCATTATGGAGTCGCTTTGCCATTACCTCTGTGCGAGTGGTGTATGCCTCCTTAGCTGTCTGGGCATTAAGTTTCTTTTTGGGAGTTCTCTATGGCTTGTTTGGACTTTACATCACTGAAGAATTCGACATACTCGTCCTCGAAATCGTTTACATTTCGTATTTAATAGCAGCAACGATGATTCCCATTGCTATTCTACATTTACTCAAGATTTATCGCTTGAAGAAATCACGGACACACGAGTGCACGCTGATTACTAAAAGGATGACACTAATATCAGGGATTGTTATATTAGTCCAAATCATCACTATGGTTCCCGTCACCGTTAAAGTGATAGTTTTGTTGTTTAAAGGATTCGCACCAGACACCTCTGACGTCACGGACTTGATCGTCCATCTCATGCTCAGTGTCGGAAACAGTATCAACCCAGTCATTTATTTCTTAATGTCCAAACCTCAGAATAGACACTGGAGCCGATTTCACTTGTGTTTTTCATAACTCTGTGTTCAAAAGTAGGTAAAGATTATTATTCACTCGTTTATTGTACATTGTAAATGTTTTCTTATTTGTAGTACTTTTTAAAAATATATTTAAACATAAGATGATAATCTTAAACATTTTGGGATTTATTTTTTCACTTGCTACAAAATGAAAACATTAATTTTCTTCAAAATCCAGGCCCGTAGAAAGCAATTTCACTTTGGGGGGGGGGGGGGGGGGGCACAGCCAAACATTTTTCAGTTGACAGTTGAGGGGGCACTACCAAAAATTTTCTGACAAGCAAAAAAAAAAAAAAAAAAAAAAAAAAAGGTCGTCAACTACCAAATATTCCTTGACAAGCAAAAAAAAAAAAAAAAAAAAAAAAAAAAAAAAAAAAGGTCATCAGGCGGTTTTATTGAGGGGGCACATGCTTATAGTAACTATGTTTACTATAGTAATCTATATATCGGCAAAATTATTGGGGGTGCCCCCCCCCCCCGTTCCTACGGCCATGAAATCTGAAAATATATACTTAATATATTTTCATTTAAATAGAGTCAATAAGACTAACCGACCACATAAAATTTCATTTTATTTTTTCAAGATTTTTTTGCCCTTTAAAAGTGATTTTTAAAATATGTATATATATAGATACATGTACATATATATGAGGGGAACAATAAAAATTGAGAATTTTGAACATCATAGAAAATCCACAATTTTTTTTATTATTATTTTAGGAATTTGACATCTGCATCATTTACAAACAGTTAAGTCCAAAAATAAATCAATCCATGTCTGTAGTAAGTGTCCTTAACATAACATTAATATATCCTCGTTTACTACCGCATGATTTATTCCTTACACCAAAAGGCATCAGTTCTTAAAAATATAAGCATATTAAAACAAATGTAGAATTTAACTGTCGTCAGCAGGGTCGTGATAAAGCTATAATCCGCGAAGACAAGTGCACCTGCTAACCGCTTTATTGGGACTTGGTAGAAAATGACTCTTATATGTGAGAACCTCTACTGTGATTTCAGCACCTCTTTATCGGCTTATAATTGTGAAGAATCATATCAAATTTGTCTAAAGCAGTGATTAACACGAAATTTGGACAACAAACTACACTGACTACATGCTTTTCTAAATTGTTTGGTATTGTCATGTTCTAAATTTTGAATTTACCGGGTGGGAGTAAATACGTACAAAATTAAGAACATGACACCCGGTAAATTCAAAATTTAGAACATGACAGTATATATATGCGAATTTTCTATCGCGTTTTGCTGATCCATGACATGCACGGAAAGAAAGGGAAAGAGGGAGAGAGAGAGTTAATAATGCTAAAAACCAATGTGACTGGTATTATAAAAAGATGCATAGCGAGTAAGTGCGTGGATTATAATGTAGAAAATCCGCGATTTTAGATTGCGGGTATCTCAGATTGTATAAATAGATGGCCTAATAAAACGAAAGTTTTGGTGGCATAACATCTTGATTAAGCCCCAGTCACACATTCCGATTCAAGCCAAGATCATCCACGGCTAAGTGCCGTCAAATAATTTGGGTAAGTTCACGGTAAAAGTCGTGCATGGCAAACTTTTCTTACGGTGACGCTACAAACGTCCTAGGCACCGTTGCGGTTTGACGGAATCGTGTAATATCACGTTTCATATCGACTTCCGTACAAACTTATTCGGTAACATGACGTTCTTCATGGGACAGAGTACAATTATTAAAGTTCATTTATGATTTAGGGAGATTGTACTACGGACTATGACAATCTTACAAAGTTTATTTAGACTTTAATATATTTGTTCACCAATCGAAGACGGCAAAGGAATCAGTTAACTGATCCTTGCTCGCCGAGTTCACACATGTTTTACGTTTTTTATACTAATTGTTAGGCGATTATTTACATACTGAATTATCGATGGATTTTTCCGTTATTTACCGATCATGACAAGGAGCACACGGCGGGTGTGACCGGTCGGTAGGGGATGCTCACTCCTCCATGGCACCTGATCCCACCTCTGTTTTTGGAGGTCCGTGTTTGCTCTGCTCCCGATTTGTATTGTTTTAATGGACGTTGAGCTTGAATACTGTTCGTTATATCCAGATTTCATTACAAAGTTGCAGACATGCCAAGAAAAGATCTCACCGAACCCCATCATCCCGGCCCAAGGAGAGTCAAAGCAAAATGAATCTCAATGAAAACCACGGGGATGAAGACGTAGTAGATAATATTTAGGTCTTATTTTTCCATTTCTGTTCCTCATCAGAAGAAGATCTGAATACTATCTATTACGTCTTCAGCTGTGCAATGAAGTAACCTAAAAAATATTGAGAGTTATATTGCTGATTGTATAAAGAACAAAAATAAAAGACAAGGCGGATTGGTGAAGTATCGCCTTTCCTTTAGGATCAAGGGATTATAAAGATACATAAAGATACTGTGAAAAGACTTCTTGAAACTTGAAAGCACGTTCACTGACGTTCACCTACTTCTAACACAACGGTATTACATATTACGACAAAGCACGATTTAGCAATGAATAAACTACGGTAGAACTACGAGTTTTTTCTATGTTGTTGAGCAGCATCAACACAATCTTGAAGGTTGCCGAATTTGATCGGCTTTTGCCGATCAGTCAGGGTAAGCCTTCGATTCATCAGGTTTCACTTTTACGTTTTCCCACGATGAAGTACGTTACTGGTCGCGATGCTAAATCGGGACAGTGTGACTGGGGCTCTAAGTATTTAATTAACCGTCTGTGCATGCGGAACAGGCATTTTTGAGACTGATTTTACCACCCAGAGAAAAATAATGAAAAGAAATTACCTCTGTTCCCAATCACCGGACTGGAATTCATAAATCTGCCAGAACTGATCTGTAACAAACAACAAGTAAGGGAACGGAGAGTTACTGGCATATATTTCATGTTTGAAATGCATGTTCAAAATATTGAAAGCATTTCAAAATATTTATGATCGTATGTAATTTTTCATCCCAAATTGTATTCAGTGAAACTGAGAAGTTGGTTTGGGCTCGTGAGGATAACATATCCTCATTTTTTTTAATTTTATAAGACACTTACTCAAATTATTACATGGACATGGACATATATGTAAGTAAGGGTTTAAAATTTCCTGTTCTTGAAAAAAGATGTATATCTTTTTAATTATATTTTGATTTTGAATTTTTCTTTCATTTAAATACCAATTAACTATAAATTCAGAACGAATACACGTAATAGTTTTGAAATACTGATAAATTAGAATATATGTATTCAAAATTTTACTTACTAATTTACGTTACTGGCGATATGAGGAAACATTTAATACATTGTATATAAAACACATAACAAATTAGATGTTTTAAGTGACCACCAACCGTTGATTATCAGTAAATTATAAATATTATGAAACCACGTATAACAATCATAAAACTACTCTAGAAAATCAAAAAAACAAAAAACAAAACAAAAAAAAAATCAAAACTTGTAGCAGTGTATGGAATAGTCTTCTCCTTTCACAATATAATTCACCCTGATGTTGTCAAAAATGCATACTTTTTTATCATTATGAAAAAAAAAATACTTAAAATTTTACTAGAATAATTTTCTCACAAATAGCACTAGCAGTTTTGTATGAATGAAATGAAGGGAAATTCCAGGTAATAATAATAATGGGATAAAGAGAGTAACCGCTATTGGTGTTATGTTTGCTATCGATAAAATTATCTGCATCAGTGCATTGGGTTCAAATTCTTTCTATTATTATCATCAACGCTGTGCCTGCAATAAAATGTTTAAAATTCAAATGTTTTAAAACTTACTAATAGCTTCACACTTTTATCTTAATCTTATTTTGAGAAATTTTGATTTAATTAATTTTAATGATAATTGCGAAGACTTCTGTTTTAAGTACATTTACTTCTTTCGAAATAAATTACTCAGTTGAGACACAAAATTCCTTAGGTGGTTTAATTAATTCTGAATCTCTAAATCAATGGTAATAAAAAACAGCTGATTTCTGAACATTTGCCCTGCTTATCAATGATCGATCTTGACATATGTTGAAATGGATTCTGAAGCTTCCCTTTAAAAAAAAATATAGTTAAAGGTATATAAAATAAAAATAAAGAGTTTCCTAAGTCGTTAAAATGACTTTTATATCTTGCAAAAACTTTGTTTTCTGACATATTTCTATAATTTGACCCTATTATAGGCTTGCAAACAATAATAATAAAGATAGGTAATGTATGGAATCACTATATCTGGATGACATTTTTTTTATATCATGCACATACCTTTATAAGAAACTCGATGACATTTTCAAGGAGAAAAATTCGTTTAATATTGGAAGAATGCTATTTTATCTTTAGTAATACTATATGTAAATGAATTTTCCCATACGTGAATCTACATACATCCCCCCCTCTCTCTCTCTCTCTCTCTCTCTCTCTCTCTCTCTCGTGATTTTTTTTAATTTCTGGTATTAATACTTTAAATGTACCTTCATCTGCGGAGGGAAAGATGATAGGTTTTTCAATCTTAGTAGTGTTACAATGAATAAAATAGCTTAAAAAGAATTCAAGTATACCGCGACTTGCATAAATGATGCAAAACCTTTCGTTTCTTCTTAGCTACTCAAACACACGCATTTGGTGTTATATATTTTTCTTATCACAAAGAATAATAACTCCCTACCGATTTAATCACGGTGATTTAATGGGTAAAGGATTATATATTTTTAACGTCAAGTGCCTGTGGTTTCACAGAAAAAAAACGTACGTTTTTCATCAGGCTTATTATGATATTAAGTCTTTGACACGCTTTTTGCTTTCTTTAACTAAATTATACGACAAACTAGATGACTTCAGCCTTTTTTCCATCGTCAAATTTTCCTACTAATGTAGAATATTCTACAATCAATAGCTATGGTGTCTATGTCTCCAAAGTGATTCAATACTCAAGAGCATCTTCTGAGAACCATCTTTTTTTAAACTGTGACAGACTGACAAATAAATTGATGCTACAGGGATTTTAACTGTCGTGTTTAAAGTTAGCATTTCGCAAA